TTTATGCGCTTCTTGCCATTGGATCGCAGCCTTTCTCACTATCATATGAACTTTCATCCTTCAAAGTGTCCAAATTCAATGAAGCATTGTCATAACTCTTTTACGATGAAATATTTGAATCATGATACCACCACCCTCTTTGAAAGAATTCTCCCCTATATTCCTCAACCATTTAGGGATTGAAAATACGAGATCATTAACAACACTTTAGATTTGTTAATCAGCGCATGTGTTTGAGTCCATAGTGAACTTTTGCAAAATTCATAGTGCACACAAAATCTCCCAACAGTGACACCATCTTCCAAAAGAAAAGAATGTCCCTAACTAAGCATGATATGACATGTCTTACAAACGAACCCATGTTCCCTTAATAATAGTCACCATATGAGGATACTACAAATCAATGGTATAAAACAGCTTAAACAAGCTATCTTTATACCTAGCTATAACTTCACCAGATTCTTTGGACTCTTCGGTTCCAACATAACTGTATCATCACCCATGGTAATGACCTTGACATTTAGTATGGATTTACATAAAAGGAAGTCAACCACCTTCCCTTCTAGCAGGTATAACCTTTCCACTAACACCTTGCAGCACCTCTCAATTGTATCCTCATCAACATGGAATTCGCTATGACATCACTATTTTTTCTTATTAGATACCTACACCGCATTTTTGTTTGGCCCTCCAACAACATCATTTCCTTTCACCATATTTGCATAGCTTCGCCCACCAGCACTACCTCTCCCTTCCAATTGGTCTCACGGTCAATAGCTCTACGCACAACATTCTGAGTTTGTCTCCTTATTTCTTGTGTTTATAGACAGCTCTATTATATATACACATTCACTGTTATCCACATGTTGCCTATAGTTATAAAACTCGGTTTCTTTTTCATGTCATGGACATTCTCGACCTCTACAAATCGCACAAACACAAATATGTATTTGTTATGTTTATTCAAAATAAACAAATCTTCAACTAAATATTTTAAAATTATTCCTTTTATATATTAGTTTTATGAACTGATTATCACTTTATCGCAAACACGTCGATTGAACCACACACATAATTAATGTATCATTTAAAACCTCACATTATTAATTAGTTATTTAATGTGTCCATGATAAAAAATTTAAATATAATAATTTTTATTAAAAATTAAATAATTCAATATATTAATAATATTAAACATTATAATTTTCATAAAACTATTATTTACTAATTTTTTATTGTTTATGTACATTAAAAAAATCATTAACTAGTAAAATCATTCATACATTAGGAACATCATGTAGGATTCATTTTAATGTTTATTAAGGCTACAGAAAAATATGAAAATTATTTATTAATGTATGTATGTATATGGGGGAGTGAGACAGAATGAATGAAAGAAATATTAATGTTAATTAATGGATAGATAGAAAATCATGATATAATGAAATATTTGCTTAATTAAAAAAGTTACTTCCTTCTATCAGGCAAACGTTATGCCCCAAATAATTACTAATTTTTAATTCTTTTTGAACAATATTAGTAATTAGTAAAATTTATTTTCGAGAGCTCAAAGTAAAGGCTTTATTCGCTTTATCCTAAATCAGCCCTAACACCATGAATTAAAAATTGAATTTTAATTTCATTAGAATAAAAAACCATGTACAACAAACTTTGACCGAACAAAATCATGGCCCCTCTCTCACATACACAGGGTATTTGCCAATATAAATAAAAGAATTATGAAACATTTCTCCGTATAATAATAATGAAAAAGTCATATAATGCTTTTGAACAAACAAAATAAAAAGATCACATATGTTAATTATGAACTGTGAAAATTCTAGTGTTACTCATGCTTATGCGGGGAATTTGTTTAAATATTGTCATTTATATTTTAAAATTGTCCTATAAAAAATTACAGCTTATAATTATTAAATTATTTCAAATGCAAATAGAACTTGTTAAAAAGAATTATGCTAATTATCAATTCAACTTAGATTTAATAAAGTAATTTAAATTGAAAGAGTAATTTGTTAGTATATTATTTCATAAATAATTAAATACATTATATTTATGAGAGAGACGAGAGAGATTCTCCATACATGCTATATATTGAAAGGTGTTTACATTTAAAGTAAGAAAATGAGAATTAAGAATGTCCATTCAGTTTATTAGGGTAGATATTCACTTGTTCTAACAATAAGATTTTGTTACACTTAATTAAAATGTAATTTGTTAGTATAATTAAAAACAATTATACACAATTAAATATATTATATGCATGAAAGATTGAGATTTTCAATACATATGTATTGAAGGGTATTTAATTTAAATCAGGAAAATGAAAATTAAGAGTGACATAATTCAAATTGTCATATTATTAAGAAAGATATTAACTTATTACAGCAACAAAGCTTTTTTTAATTTGTTCTCCTTGATAACTTTTTTTATAGATATCAATATATTTAATTTAATTATTGAATCATGTATCCTTATGTAATTATGCATGTTAAATTTTAGATAATTTAAATATTTACAAGTATATAGTTTTATAGTTAATATTTTTTTAAAAATATATATTAAAATGAAAATATTTAATAAAATATCAAATAATTTGTATATTTTATAAATTTAATTTAGTAGTTATTGAAAAATCTGAAGCTAATGATTGAATTAAAAAATTCAGTATTTATATAAATAATTAAACAAAGCCAAATTTTCTCTTAAAATAAATGAAACTTTCCAATATATGTATATATATATATTCTGCTTCGAACATGCACGCTTCCAATATATATATATATTATTGATTGATTAAATTAAATTTTGCATCGGTCTAAGATAATTTTCATGACGTATTTTTTTTCTCAAATTCCATTTTTTCTCACATTTTTTTTAGTAATATGCTCCACAAAATACTAATAATATCATTCAATTATTATATTATTAATGAAAGTATTTTGTGTGTCGCTGCATCTTTAAAGTAATGGACAATATAGATACTGGACAGCAAGAAACAAATTAATTTTGAACAACAGTAACGGGAAAATGGAAATGATCCAAATCATTTAATGGCTGTGCAGGAAGCATAATAAAGAGCTATTGCTTACAATTATGCTAATTGGGGGTCTAGTCCATCCGAATATTTGTAGTTTAAGGAACAGAAGATGTTGATTAAAGAAAATACCAACATGGAAGCAATGTTTGTCAGTCTGCATGCTCATTAATTGGTTGGATTTGGTGCTCATGTGGAAGAAATAAACAAAAACCTTGGTGCTGTTCATGCTGTGGTGTAATTAGAATATCGATTTGCACAAAATAGGTTCCATATTGTTGGCATGCAGCAATCTCGGATAAGTGTAAATCGTTTAGTTGTTTCTGGAGATATGAAATAGAAACCGTCTAAAAGTTTAATTTTAAAATTTCTAAAATATTGTCTTGATTAATATTATATTATGTCATCATTTGATTGACAGCAATTCTTTTAAAAAAATTATCACATTTGAGCATTAATGATAACATGGTTTATCTAAAAAATTGACACAACAATTTTTAATTAATCACGTCATTACTAGATATTAAAAATATTGAATTTTAAAAAGTTCAAATAAAAAATTTACAAAAATACAAAAATAAAAAATACATTTAAACTTACAAAATAATATTTTAATGTTTTTTAACTACATAAAATACTATTCTACTGTTGCTTTAATTCAATTATGTGAAATGTCAACCAATATTAAATTTAAGATTATCATATAAATAGGCTTTTGTGACAATTAGAAAAACAAAAAAAACAAAAAAAATGAGAAAACTTATTGGACAAGAGTAGAAGTTGGTTAGGTCAGGTTAAGTTTTTATAAGACTTATGCTTGAGTTGTTTCTCAAATATATCGTGTAATTTAACTTATTTACTTGATGTGATTTTCTTTTTAAAAGTTTAGTCTCATTATTATTATTATTATTTAACTATATTAACTTATTAAACTTAATAGTTTTTTAAAGTGATTTTAGATTTGACACTTTTAATTAAATACCTTTTAAAAAGATTTAAATATGACTTATTTCATCAATAAGTTTAATTTAACTTATACTTCAAGTAAGTTAAAGAAAATTGAATGATAATTAATTTCTGTCCAACTTACCTTCCTTGGACATTGAGAAGGGCATGATAGGAAGCTAAAAAGCACGACGTACGAGAGCAATAAGTAATTATCTATTACATTTAACAACTAAAAAAAAGGTATTTCACCTCCATAATTCAATCATCTTGTCAAGAAGAAATAAAGTTAATAAATAAATAAAATTTAAATGGTCAAATCCATAAAATTTTGACATTTAAATTTATCCAAAAACGTTGTTGTTTGCTCTATTTTGTGCCTGTGGAAGGGGATATATTATTTAACTTGTTTAAATTTTAATTAATGATAGGTAATGCATCGCAATTTTTCAACAAACCTATTAAAAAGAAGTCCCTACAAGTCATTATTCATATATTGAATCCATCAATTCGAAATTTGATGGATGATGTAAATGAGTTTATAAAATCAAAATTAAACTCCATATGTCTATACAGAATTCAATGACTTAACGTGCATGATGTGTATATTATATAATCTAGTTTAAAGACTAAGAATACACACTGAACCTATGTTCAAAACCTGCGCTAATATTCAAATACGTATAATATAATGCCAGTTTTATAAGCAATTTTCAGAAAGGAAGTTTAAATATTTAAATGAACATAGTTTGAATATCATCGTCAAGAAAAAAAAAAAAGATATATTGTAATCGATCTGACTTTTTTAAAAAAATAATTAAACTGCGTAACACTGGTAGTCGTTGAATTCAGCACATCGTGTATACATAAACTTCTCCAACAGCTAAAAAGTAGATATAGATCGTTGTCCACAAATAGGTTATAAATAGAATCCAGCAACTAAGCTAACAGCACTATAAACATAAAACACGAGAGTTAATAAAGTGTCTACCTTAACACCATGGAAGCTGAACCATCTTTATTGGTTATTAGCTTCATTCTTTTCTTGATATTGCATTGGCTTGCAAAATATTACAAGTCCAGTGTTGCTCACAAACTTCCCCCAGGCCCAAGAAAGTTACCTATCATTGGAAACTTGCACCAACTAGCACGAGCAGGTTCACTCCCTCATCATGCTCTCCGAGACTTTGCACATAAATATGGACCTCTCATGCACCTTCGACTTGGTGAAATTTCTACAGTGGTTGTATCCTCCTCCAGGTTGGCGAGAGAGGTAATGAAGACACATGACATGTCTTTTGTGAACAGGCCAAATCTTCTTCCTGCTCAAATTTTCACCTATGGAGGAATAGATATTGCTTTTGCTCCATATGGTGACTATTGGAGACAAATAAGGAAAGTATGCACGTTAGAACTTCTAAGTGCAAAGAAGGTTCAGTCTTTCTCTTATATTAGAGAAGATGAAACAGCAAAGTTCATAGAATCAATTAAGTTATCAGCGGGTTCAGAAATCAATCTCACTAGCAGAATTTCATCGTTGGTAAGTGCTTTTGTTTTCAGGGCAGCGTTTGGTAACATATCCACGGACCAGCGTGAGTTTGCGAATTTGCAGACGCAAGTAGTGGCGAATATAGGAGGGTTTGACCTCGCTGATTTGTTTCCTTCGGTGAAAATTTTAAATTATATTACTGGGAAAAAGCCCAAGATGGAGAAGTTGCAGGAGAAGCTTGACAAGATCTACGAGAACATTGTCATGGAGCATCGAGAAAAACGCGCAAGAGCAAAAGGAAGCATCATCAAAGAGGAGGATGAAGATCTTGTGGATGTTCTTTTGAGAATCCAAGAAAGTGGCAGCCTCGGGATCGAGATGGCCACCCAAAACATCAAAGCTGTGATTTCGGTAAGTAAATACTGCAGAGTTCAAAATTTCTTAACGGTCAGTTTTTAATATTTTATTTTAAATATTTCAAGATTATTTATTATATTAAAAATATTTTTTATTTTCAACAAAATTTATTGTTTTAAAATACTTAAAATTAACTTTAAACTTGTATTAATGTATTTTAAATTTTACTTAATAGGACACGTGCTTTTTCTTTGTTATTTTTCACTCTATCCTCATGAATAATTATTGTAGTTGACTTTTATTGTGATAATTAATCAATAACTAATAAAGAATGTTTAAATGATCTATTGCACTAATATTCAACTTCATCATATGCATAAGATAGGATTATAAAATGACATTAAGAATCGTATTTAGTAAAATGACAGCTTTAATAATTTTTATGTATAAAAAAACTCTCAATCTTATTGTTCAAGTTTTCTCATAAAATAAATTAATTCTACAAAATTATACATAATTTAAAAATTAAATAATTGTTATCTAATTTATGTATAGTAGATTATTTAAAATATAATTAAGTAAATGTTTTTTTTACAAATATTTAAATTATATAAAATGTTATATACATAATTATTATGATAATATTATGTAAATTAATAAATTTTATAAAAAATTAAAAATATTATTTTATTAAATTTAACGGTTAATATTTTATCTTAACAACAATAGGATAGAACTACTATTTTTTGAATTTTATAGCATGAATGCTACCATTGATCATAACCGTTGACACCGTAGTAGATTAAGCAATTAATATCTGGTAAAGTTGTTTCTTATTACTGAAAATTCAACAATAATTTTTAAGTGTGCAATTAGTAGGAACTGATTCAAACTATTGTGGATGCAGTACCCCTAACCTAATCATTGGTTAATAGCATCCATGGTTTGTGAGCATTCATTTTAAACGTAGGGAGCTTTTACGTACTAGTTCTGTGGACTCACTATATTATTGATTGCTGCTTCCTTTCCTTTTTGAAACAATGTAACAAATTCTCATTTGATAAAAACTATATATTAAAAACATTTCAATTCTTTGACCAGGATGTATTTGTTGCTGGAATTGATACTTCAGTATCAATTATTGATTGGGCTATGTCAGAATTGATGAAAAAACCAGAAGTTAGGGAGAAGGCACAAGCTGAGGTGAGACAAGCATTTAAAGGAAAAAGAATAATTCATGAATCTGATGTAGAGGAACTGAGTTATTTAAAGTTGGTGTACAAAGAGACATTGAGGCTACACCCTCCTGCACCTTTGTTGCTTCCTAGAGAATGCTCTGAACTAACCATTATTGATGGGTATGAAATACCTGTGAAGACCAAAATCATGGTAAATGTATGGGCAATGGGAAGAGATCCGCAATATTGGGATGATGCTGAGAAGTTTATACCAGAAAGGTTCGATGGTAGTTCTATCGATTTCAAAGGGAATAACTTTGAATATCTTCCCTTTGGGGCAGGAAGGAGAATGTGCCCAGGCATGTCTTTTGGTTTATCCTTAATTATGCTTCCTTTGGCTCTTCTACTTTATCACTTCAACTGGGAACTTCCAAATGGGATGAAACCTGAGGACGTGGATATGACAGAAAACTTCGGATTGGCAATTAGAAGGAGAAGTAACTCGTATTTGATTCCTACCGTTTATGATTTAGTGTCCTCCTGTAATATTAAGCTCATTCAGGGGAGTACTGTTTCATGAAATTAGAAATAAAAGTTCGTGTTCAATATAGGATGTAGTGTAATATGCTATATCTAGGAATAGAAATAAAGGCTAAGTTGTCCAACTTGCCATTGTAGCTTTATTTGTACAACAGTCTATGTTGAACTTTGCTATGTTCTAGGCCACGAACACAACAACGTATGGAATGAAGCCACCCGTTTATTTTTCTGTGCCATTTCTAAGTTTTTCTCTATTTGGTTCCTGTAGAATACATTAGCAAGAGAGTTTTGGAAGCAGAGGAAAAAGAGAGTATAATTTTAAATTTTAAATTTTAAATTAAGAGAATTATATACTAGTTCTGATAATAAATGCAAGATTAATACATAAAATTTAAGTTAATATATTTATTTACATATTTAATTTAAAAATATTAAATTTAAATATATTTATTTAAAATAAAAATGTTGTCCTCTCTTCTTTCCCTTAAAAACTCTCTTTTCTAAATGACTCCTTAATAAATGGGAAAAAAAAGTAAAAAAAATTGTATAATTAAGGTAGAAGATATTGTCAGCCCTAAATAGGATTTGTACGTGTTATTTTTCTAGTTGAGTGAAAGAAAAGAAATAGGTAAAGGAACACGCAATTTGAATTAGGCAACGTATGCAATCTGCGTGAATTGGAACGTTGATTTAAGGATTTTGTATTGCTTGTTGTCAAATATAATGCATGGGAGAACATTTGATTCTTTGCTCACCATTGAGAAGTGCCAAATTCTGATTCAGCCTTCTTTGTAGAAGTCTTCAAGAAAACTCTCCACAGGTTTTCCGATGCACGGAATACCCAAAAGCGTAAACCTCAAATTTCAAAACCCTTGTTGAAGCTATCAATGCTAAGAAATTAGGCAAAATTTTTGTCATGAATCTTATGCAGGATTCGCCACATGCATGCATATATCGTTTTCTAAAAACTACTTAATTACGATACATTTTTTTCCTGCCCTGCCCCTAGCTTTAGTTGACATTATTTATGGTTGTGGATGAAGGAAATTTATCATATCTCTAAATCAATTTAATCATATATTCATATATTTTATCATCAATCTTTCTTCAAACCTCATTAGGAAATAGGATAACAAAAACACTATGAGCACAACTGTATTCTATTTAATGGTCAATGTTTTACTCACTTGATATAAGACTGTTTTATGGGAATTATTTCTTATGACTATGTTAGATGAGAATAAAAATTCTTTAGTAGATATTATATTGAGTGGCCCAATCTACCCATACAAAACAAAAATCAGATTACAATTTCATCAATTAGTCATGTATCAAATTATTAATATCTATATTTGATATATTTAATTATTAAATTGAAATATTTATTCTAAATGATTAATTAATAGTAATCTACAAATAAATAATCCAATAATTTTTTTATTGAAAATAATAATATTTATTATCTTAAAAATATTAAAAAAATTCCATACATACTTTAATGACAATTTAAAGTGTTTAATATAATATATTTAAAAGGTTTTTAACGTGTATATCTGGACACACATTAAAAAAATACTATGTTTTTTATTGGTGGTGTAATCCTTATTAACTAGATTAACTTTCGTGGGCAATGGGAGCCTTTGTTAGTTCAACAATGATCCTTAAACAGCCCAATGGGCTGAGAAGAATTCCCTCTCTTGGCCCAAAATGGAGTGCAGATGATGGCTGTGGGCCGGGTAACACACGGGTTGACGTTGCTTCAATTTATTTACGTCCCAAATCAGATGTAAAAGGATGATGTAGCATGGTGGCGTCAAATTTTCAATTTCAAATTCAACTTTAGCTTATCATTGATCGCAGCAAAACCCGTGATTGGTTTTGACCGACGAAAGATTCGAGCAGATGCTAATTAGTATCCAATTTTTATGTCTTTTCATTCCATGAATGCATGGCATTGGCATGTGCACACCAAATGTTTGATTATTTGCGCCACCCAGCACAGAAAAACAGTTCCTCGATTATGAACACAAGCATGAACGTAGACAACCTTGGAAGAGCTGAATGCGGATGAACTTGAGGCAGTTCTTCTGCAAGGTTAACCTGTTCAACGGGTTAACCTTGCAAGTGCAAACTCGTTGCTATGCTCGTTGTCGTGACCCATTTCCTACCAAAGTTTCTCACTACCTAAACCGTGCCAAGTTCATTGACTCCATTCGACTCACTCTACGCTCCAATACCCTCAACTCCTCACTTCCTTCTCTCATAAACCACCGTCTCTTTGACTCTTTCGTGGTCACTCACGCACTGCGTTCTGCACCTTCTGCAGATTCCGCTCTCTCCCTTGTCGATGCCCTTGAAAAAAGTTCCCGTTTTTCGCATACCCACAACACACTCCATGCACTTGCCACTGTTCTTGCTAAGTCTGGTCGATGCGCTGACCTCAAATCTCTTGTTGATGCTATCCGAGCTAACCAGTTTGGCACTGTTCAGATTAGCTTTATGAATCTCATGCAGTGGCATGCTGCAGCTAGGGACCTTGACTCTGTTCTTCAAGTCTGGGATCAGTATAGACTTGAAAATGACAGTGTCTGCACTGAATCTTATAACATTGTTATGGCTCTTTATGCACACATGGGAAAGGACTCTGAGGCTGTTGGAGTTTTTCGCAGGATGATTGATGAAGGGTCGCTTCCTAATTGCAGAAGCTATACTGTAATAATCGAGCACCTTGTGAAATCCTTGAAATTGTCTGAAGCCATGGAGGTGTTTCACCTGTTGCCTTCAATGAGGATCAAACGCACTTTGAAACAGTACTCCGTTCTGATTGAAGGTTTCATGGGTAGCAAACGGTTTGATGAAGTCGGAATTTTGGTTGATGAAATGCAAGGTGATGGAATATTGCCTAGTAGAGGCTTGAGTTTGTTGCTACAGCAGATGCAGGAGGAAGGTATTCTTAAGGAGAAGGACCAATTATTTAGAGAAATTTTGCCCAATGAAAGAATCAAGAATGTGAGTTATTCTATTGATAGCGGTGATAAGGATGAGGATGAGGATGAGGATGAAGATGAAAATGAGGGAGAAGATGAGAAGATAAGTGGAGCTTGTCAATGTGATCAAGTTGATGGGATTCATTTAAAACCATGGCTGGATCCGCGGGCTTTGGCCAGTGCCTTGAAGAATTGGAGTCCTGATGAAGTAGCAGCACTAGAGGGTGCTGACTTTGTATGGACAACCAGGTTGGTTTGCAAGATGCTTAGAAATTTCAAAACACCAGAAGTTGCATGGAATTTCTTCTGCTGGGTTGCTAATCAACCTGGATTTACTCATGACAAATACACTATACAAAGAATCATGACCCTTTTAGCACGCCATGGACGTACTGAGTTGGTTGATAGACTCATCTCCAAGATCAGAATGGAGGGAATGAGACTACCATTCAGCACCATCAGGCTAATCATTGACTTTTATGGGATTTCAAAAAATGCTGATGCTGCTCTCAAGGTTTTCAATGATGATCGAAGACTTTGTGGGCCCATATCAAAAGTTAATCTTATGATTCTGTATTCCTCTCTTCTAAGAACATTAACAAAGTGTGGAAGAAATGCTGATGCCCTGGACATGCTTGATGATATGATTTTAAATGGTATTTGCCCAGATATCCAGACATTTTCAGGCCTCATGCGCTATTTTTCACACCTTGGAGACATAAAAACAGTGCAGAGACTCTTTGCAATGGTTAGGCAGAGCGGTCTAGAGCCAGATGCTTATTTGTTCAAGGTATTAATACAAGGTTATTGCAAGTCAAACAGAGCTGCACTTGCATGGAGGCTATTTGAAGACATGAAGAATTCAGGTCTGGTGCCTGACTCATCCACAAAAGAGTTGCTAGTGAAGAGCCTCTGGAAAGAGGGGAGACGCAGGGAGGCTGCAGCGGTGGAAGAGAGTTGCGAGGAAATAAATATGGTCCTTCCACTCGCATTGCAGGGTCATGTATGGACTGTCAGCTCTGCAGATCTCATAAGAGTTTATAATATTTATTCAAATTGTTTCGCTTAAAAAGGGGGAAGGGGATTTTTCATGCATGAAATTGCACCACACATTATAACAGATGAAAAACAATACCCAAAGTCCTTGAGATTTTTTCAGAAGCGGAGAGGGCTGCAACAATATGTTTAAGTTGCAGTAATTATTAGAGTTCTGACAGCTACCATATGTTTCATTGTATCCACTTCATCAAGTACTAGAAATCATATTTACTTAATCACAAAATTATTGACGTCTAGTTGATGTGTGGAGAGTTACATTCAGTTTGCTGCTGAGTTATGCACTTTGCAGGGAATCTAATAATTATCATTTTTTTTATTGTTATTGGTTATCTTATTGCAATTTTCAATCCCTTTTATTTTTCTTAGAACATTAGTTGGCTTACAAATTTCAGTTTTGATGAATACACAAAAGCTGCACTCAGCTATTCGAAAAAAGGGGAGAGAATGGCGTAAGAGAGGGTAGGTTTAGGAGGAATCTAGCCTGTGTGACTATTAACCTATACCAATTGGCTACATCCATTATTTGGTGCACGTCTTGCTCATCTGCTGAAGACAGCTCATTTGATTAAAAATTAAATGAAGGCCAATTTGTTGAGGTGTTTTATTACGCTGATCCAATGCAAATAGACGATTCAACATTCTAAGCTGTTGCCTTTATAGTAGCATATTTTGGTCTTGGGCCCTTGTTAAACGTCAAACTAAATATATCCCTACGCCAAGAGATCTCCTGTTCTCACATTGCTAGAACTAAAAGTCATATAATAATACTATTTTCTAATAAAATTCTTATACCATTTTTTTCTCTCTCATTCTCTCGTAATTACATTATTTATCCTATCTCATATTTCTCTTCCTATCTTTCTCCTTGTCAAAGAAGGTGTTGAGAAATTTAAATGAAAATAACGTTATTATGTCATATAAGACCCAAATCCTTTTGCGATTTTGCCTCTTAAAAATCCGGTAGTGGCATAAAGTTTGGTTGGTTTGTAGGTGTCGGCATACTAGCTGACATCGTGCACAGGTAGAACTGGGAGGGACATTAACTGGCCGTCCTAAAATTGGATTTGGCATCGCAATATTATATTGTCAGGTAAACTCTCAAGTTAGTCTTCAAAATGATGATTGTGCATTTTAGTATCTGAAATTTAAAATCATTTTAGTTTTTTTTATATTCTATTTTTTACTGTCATTGGACGCTAGAACAGACTAAAATAAATGCTATTTTGTAAAAACAGAAATTAATAAGAGATTTTGAAAATCTCAAAAACTAAAATATACAACTCATAATCTTAAGAACTAAATTAAGAATTTACTCTTCTATTGCCATTTTATTATATCATGCGCATGAATTGCATACCATTTGGCTAATATAAATATTGATATGTCCACAATATCTAGGATTCTGAAAGCAAAATGGAAATATTTGCAATGACACAAATTTTCTAAATTAAACCAAAGGATATTTTTATTGACAAGGAATGCTCCATATCAACAAAGCCGATTTCCTTTGATAAGAGACTCTCTTCATTCTTTCCCTCCTAACTTACATTTGTTCACAACTACACAACAATGGCCTCTCGTTCTCACAGTCTTTGTCTTGCACTCATGTTGTTTTTCACTAACATTGCAGCTCAATCACAACAAACCAATGGAACAAACTTTTCATGCCCAGCTGATTCACCTCCTTCCTGTGAAACCTATGTAACATACATTGCTCAGTCTCCTAATTTCTTGAGTCTGACCAACATATCTAATATATTTGATACCAGCCCTTTATCCATTGCAAGAGCTAGTAACTTAGAGCAAGAGGATGACAAGCTGATTCCTGACCAAGTCTTACTGATACCTGTAACTTGTGGTTGCACTGGAACCCTCTCTTATGCCAATATCTCCTATGAGATCAATCAAGGCGATAGCTACTCCTTTGTTGCAACCACTTTATACGAGAATCTCACCAATTGGCATGCAGTGATGGACTTAAACCCTGGTCTAAGTCCAAATATGTTGCCAGTAGGCGTCAAAGTAATAGTTCCTTTATTCTGCAGGTGCCCTTCAAAGAACCAGTTGGACAAAGGGATACAGTACCTGATTACCTACGTGTGGCAGCCCAATGACAATGTTTCCCTTGTAAGTGCCAAGTTTGGTGCATCACTACAAAACATATTGACCGAAAACAACTATGGTCAAAACTTCACTTCTGCAACCAACCTTCCAGTTTTGATCCCAGTGACACACTTGCCAGATCTTATTCAACCTCATTTGGATGTAAAAAAGGGAAGCATTCATCTTTCAGTTATACTTGGCATTAGCCTGGGATGCACAGTTTTAACTGTAGTTTTAATGGTATTACTGGTGTATGTGTATTGTTTGAAAATGAAGAGTTTGAACAGGAGTGCTTCATCAGCCGAGACTGCGGATAAGCTACTTTCTGGTGTTTCAGGCTATCTAAGGAAGCCAACTGTGTATGAAATTGATGTGATCATAGAAGCTACCATGAGCCTCAGTGAGCAGTGCAAGATTGGTGAATCAGTGTACAAGGCAAATATAAAAGATCAGGTTTTGGCAGTAAAAAAAATCAAGGAAGATGCCTCGGAGGAGCTGAAAATTCTGCAGAAGTTGAATCATGGAAATCTGGTGAAATTAATGGGTGTTTCATCAGACAATGATGGGAATTGCTTTGTGGTTTATGAATATGCTGAAAATGGGTCTCTTGATGACTGGCTATTCTCCAAGTCTTCTTCAGACACATCAAGCTCAATGGCTTCCCTTACTTGGTGTCAAAGGATAAGCATAGCTGTGGATGTTGCAATGGGTCTACAATACATGCATGAACATGCTTATCCAAGAATAGTCCACAGGGACATCACGAGTAGTAATATCCTTCTTGACTCAAACTTTAAGGCCAAGATAGCTAATTTTTCCATGGCCAGAACTTTTACTAACCCAATGATGCCAAAAATAGATGTCTTTGCTTTTGGGGTGGTGCTAATAGAGTTGCTTACAGGAAGGAAAGCCATAACAACCAAAGAAAATGGCGAGGTGGTTATGCTGTGGAAGGACATTTGGAAGATCTTTGATCAAGAAGAGAATAGAGAGGAGATGCTCAGAAAATGGATGGACCCTAAGTTAGAGAGCTTTTATCCTATAGATTATGCTCTCAGCTTGGCTTCCTTGGCAGTGAATTGCACTGCAGATAAGTCCTTGTCCAGACCAACAATTGCAGAAATTGTTCTTAGCCTCTCCCTTTTCACTCAGCCATCTCCTGCTACATTGGAGAGATCATTGACTTCTGGATTAGATGTAGAAGTTACTCAAATTGTCACTTCCATAGCTGCTCGTTGACTGAGTGAACGCAATTCAATTCCTCAAATCCAAGATGGTGTTTAATTTACATAATGATGGTTAAGAAGTGTCGAGGTATATGTTTGGTTTTGTTTAGGGGAGTGTTTTAAACTTTTAAATATCATTTTTTTCCATCCCTGTATTCTTTAAACCCCAAAATAAATTTGCTTATTTCTGTGTATTTTTTTTATGACAATAGAAAGTTTGAATCAATTAATGGATTTGTCTGTCACATGTACAAACAAATTCACGCGTGAAAGATAATTGCTTTTGAAATATATGTTTTTGACACTGGATGCATGAAGCATATGTTTCATACCTCATGAAGTCATAGCTCATAGAGTAACAGGTAGAAGTACAAATTTGTGCAATAAGATATGCCTCTTAACTTTAATGTTCCTCCATTTAGCAGCACAAAAACAATGTAGAATAGCTCTACGTTAGAATAATGCTGCAAGTCAGCTAGCTATTTTGTAAAAAAAACAATTTTTGGTGTGAATGGATTGTTCCAATCATTGATGAATACCTCTTCGTAAAAAATAAGGGTTAGTACCAAAATCGTTAAGAGTTGACAATGTTTCTTTGGAGAATCTTTCGTAAACAGTAACGGCCCCATTGCCTACTGACTTGCCAGAGTTCTGCATGCGCATGTCAACCTGTGGTGAAAGAGATTAAAAATTTCGAAGTGACCCTGATTCAGCAAACTGCATAGTTATTCTTCAAGAATTCGTTGATTGCAAAGTGAAGGAATTTGTAGAGTGAGGAAATAACAGTATAGTTACTATTATTTTGAATTAAAATATTGTTTAATCTCTAATTAATCGTCATCATCTCGAAACTTAAGCAATAATACACACGCATAAACCGTGTAGACTTGGAAGAATTGTTAACATTGGGCTTCCATCAGTAAATCAGAATTATATTAAAATTTAAAACTTTCAAATCAAAGTAAAGTCGTGATTTTTTTAAAAAAACAAGATTGTAGGTATATTAACATATTCTCTCAAATTTGTCATGTCAGGTCTTGAATATCAAATGGCATGTTAGGTGATGTCCCATCTGTCTTTTAATTTAGAATATGTGTAATATATAATTAATTTATTTAATATCATAAGAAAAAATATATAAAATATTTAAATAATAAAATATTATTATATTTTATCCATTATATTTTATTTATTTTATTATATGTATTTTAATATTTGTTAATTTCTACAAATTAATTATACATTTCACCTTTATTATATTTTTGTTAATTTTTTAATCAAATTTTGAGAATAAGTTTATTTGAAAATTTTTAAAAATAAAATACAAGCAATTAAAATTAAAGAAACTAAAATTGCACATAAAGTAAAAAAAATAAGTAAAATAAAACTAATAAGTATGAAGAATGAAAGAGTAATATTTTAACATAAAGAAAAATGAAGAAAGACGTAGAAAATTTTTACACCATAAATAAGGCAAAAGGAAAATGCAGATAGAAACATGAGAATATGTATTTTCTAATATTGCTGCAGACCAAATGAAATGTTAAAATTAAATAAATAATTGCAAGAACGTTAAGACGATATAGACTGCAATTATCAGTATAGAAAAGTCTTATGGCTGGAGTCACAAAATTTCCATATAATAATCATTAATTTGAAATTTGTCGCACAAATCACTGGGTAATTACCACTAAATGGAATTTATGTTCTTGGACTATCATTGATTTAGCTTTACTGGGCTGGGTACGTTAGCCCATTTCTTGATGAGTTATATATAACTAGTCCAGCCCAACTCTTCAGGGGCTAGGACATAGCCCACCGAAAAAGTAAAAGATCACAAAACATTCCTAAACTATTATAGTATTTAACAATTATCTTATTGATAAAAAAAAGTATTTAACAGCTAAAAAATTCATTGCAATTTGATTTATTTAATTATTTATTTTATCGTGAACGTGGCTACTAGCTCAGAAAAAACACAAACTACAAAAGAACTTTACTTTTGTATTCAACATTAAAAAGCTTACTTCAGTGGTATCACTTTCGCAATTCTTCCATAGTAAGAGCAATTCCCATGGACTTCAATTGGACTTATATCAGAATAATAGAATCATCACTTTAAGAAAATTTAGATTTATTAATTAATATCCTAACTGGAATCTCTAGAAATAAATAATAACTAACAAGGAAATAAAACTACAATTACATCATTTTCTTACATTATACAGAAAATGGGTTTCTGGAAGAGAGTTTAGAGAAATTCCGTGCTTCCTATTCATTCATCATGACTGCATATATCATTATATCATATATGTTGATCTATAAAAACCTAGTTAAACAAACACACTAATACAATATGCTACATAACATATCTGACGAAGAAAACAGAAGAATTTAACAGAAATGTAAGATATCGTTGACTGATTGAACTATTCTGTTTCAATTCAACTGCAGTAACATCAAATGATCCTGATAAATCTCTGTTATTCAGAGATATTCATTAATCTTTCCCAACTCAATGAAGAGTCAAGTGTTCTGGACAGAGCTAGAACAATCTGGTGCACATCAAGGCGACTTGCTGGATCTTTCTTTATGCAATTGTCAATCATTTCAATCACAAACATAGCAAGTTCTAATGGATAATTAGCTTGTAGTGAGGGATCCATAAACTCCTTCAACCTCTCTTGGCCACTTTCCTCACCAAGTATGGAACTTAAAACGCGTGACAAATCAGCATTCTCTTCTGTTAAAATAGCAGCAACCTCTTTTCCAGTGAGCACTTCCAGCATTAATACCCCAAATGCATAGACATCAAGCTTTGTAGATATAAGACCATGTTCCAAATACTCTGGAGCCATGTAACCCCTTGTCCCAACAATGTGTCTTGTCGCGGGAAATTCGTTATCTGTTCCTTCCATTGATCTCGCGAGGCTCAAATTTGCTACCTTTGCCCTGAAATCACTGTCCAAGAGAATGTTACTACTCTTAATATCCTTGTGGATATGAGGAGTAGACGTGAAACCATGAAGATAATCAAGTCCTGTGGCCACATCCAATGCAATTTGCATTCTCTTTGTCCAATTCAGAAACTTCCCATCCACGTTGCTGAAGTAGATCCATTCACTCAAGGATCCATTAGCAGCATACTCATAAACAAGGTACCAACGCCCCTCGTGGAAGCACACCCCCGATAGGCGAATCACATTAGAATGATTGACCTTGTTCAATATTTCTATCTCTTTAGATACATCTCCTTCTGTCTTTTTAATTGCAGCCAAATCTCCTTTAATAACACCGCGGTAAACCGACCCTTTGATCCAGCAATTAGGACTAAAATTATCTGTTGCAAGCTGTAGTTCCTCAAAACTGTACACTCTGAACGATTGAGCTATGCCAGATATGATCTCTGATAATTTTTCATTTCCTTTCTCTGTTCCCTTCCCTTGTGGTTTTTTCTCAACTGCCTCAAAACTATTGGACACAATCACTGAACCTTGTTTCTCTTTGTTTTTGCCATAGCGTGTGAATAAAATTACAGCAGAGAGAATTGCTATTAAGGCAAAAACTCCTACAACAACTCCAACAACTACATACATCCACGTTTTGTTTGAGCTTTGGGAAGAAGAGGAAAGTGAGGGTGGTGGAGTAGTTTGAGGTGGAGAAACGGTTTGAGAATTGGAGGGCTTATCATGAAGGGGAAGGAGAAGTGTGGTGAAGGGATAGATGGTGGATTGTGTCATAGCAAGGCTATTAGCCTCAAGAGTGGTGTCAGTGTTGACACCAAACCTCTCACTAATGAGTGAAACAGAATCACCCCAGTTTACAAGGTAACTTAAGAGGTACCTTATGCCTTTCTCAGTTTGATTCTTTGTGGGACAAGCACATCTAAGTGGCACTGCAAGTTTTCTACCGGAGTATATATTAGCAGGATTGTCATTTTGATTCTGCAAAGCTTGGCAAGTTGTTAGGCCCTCAAAAGTGTTGTTTGCAACCAAGAAGTAAGTTTCTGAATTATGGAACACATAGGATGTGTTTGTCTGATAATACTCACCTGCACAAGAACAGTTGACTGGAACAATCACCAACTTGTTTATGTCAAATGTGTCATTCAGGGAAACAGAATTTATTTGAGCAAGTTGGGATGGGTCAGAACCCAACAAAGCAGATATTGAGGAGACAGAACTGTATATAGGTTGAGATCTGAAGGTAAGGTAAGCTTGGCAACTGCGATTTGCACCATTACAAGTGTAGCCACGGATAGACTTTGAGTTACCCTTTCGAGGGCAGGCTACTGTGCCTAAACCAATATAAGGTTGCTGCCCCATAATCATAGAGAACCTGCAGATTAAAAGGCTGAAAATGAAGAGAGGAATGAAGGGAAAGAAACGCATTGTTATTGCAAATATGGGTAAAGAATGTAAGGATTGTAGAAGGTTTCTTAGGGAATGCAATTATGTACCACTTTTTTTTTTCTTTTGTGCATATAGGGGGCCAAAACCCGGCAATTATGTAACACTTTATTAAATGATTTAGGTAGTGCTTGTTTCAGTTTAATTTGGAATTATTTAATTCATTGGTCATAAGTTCAGATAGAAGACAATTTCTGAGAAAAAACCTGCCTATTGATTTCTTCTTGAGGTTGAATTTAAAATATTATAAAAAAAACAGATAGGCTTGGATTGTCGTTGACCAAACAGCATTACATAATAGTTCTAGTTACTATATGTCATTACTTGAACGATACTCGTTTACTTGACTCTGTCCTATCACTTTCGTGGGGATCAAATTCAATGAATAAATAAATATAATAACTTAAATTGGCTGAGACACACCGAGTTAATTCTTTTTTGTTTCAGTTGGTCCAGGCAGAGTATCTTCTTTGTGTGACATTTGTTGGATAATATATAATATGTATTTTTTTATATTAATTTGACTTTCTTATAATTTTATGTTTTCTATACTGAAGACATTAATTTAACTTATAAATCAATGGATAAATGTCTTCAGTAATTTAATTATTTTTTAAAAAACTTGGTAATTTCTAATTAATGCAAAATTTGAATCAATGTCTAATTGAAGAGAAATATACATTCTCATACTTAAAAATTGAGGAGAATAATAGGTGACCCTTTCTCTGTTTTGAAATTACATCCCCTTTCCTTAATCTATGTGTTGTTATAATTTGGCCTCACCATAAAATTAGTTTTAAAAATTATAAAATCACCCAATGGTTGACCAAGCTATGGACTCCCATTTTTGTACACAACTGCAATTCCTACTTGTTAACATAGATAGGACTATGAGTTATGAAATCCTAAATCATGTTTTAGGTAAAATTTATCTTTTATAACATGATCAAACCGTAGTTTGGAAATTTTAAATACTCCGAAACATTAAAAAACACAAACCCTGGGTCCAAACCTCAATTTCCAAAACCAATGAGTCAATGGTAGTTCGTAAAGGAATTAGGAATAGGTGTATCACTAGGCTCGTTTGGTCCTTATGACTTGTTAATAAAGGATGGTTCGTAAAAATAATAATAAAAACCGTTACTTTAATATTGTTCTTCAATCATAATGAGTGTATCAAGTCAATTAAAGCATCAACTTTCCTTTATAGTATGTGCTTGCTCCGCACGAAAAATCCTAAAGAATCGGCAACATTTCCGATTGGTCAACTTCATAGCAAAGTCTATACGCTTTGTAGTTTATATATTTCAGAAATTCAATTGACAAAATGGCTCCCTAAATAGTAAATACCAATTGGTTTATGTATTCTTATTTCGCACGAAAGATCATCACAAAAGGCAGCAATATCTGTAATGGATCAACTTCATAATATCTGTAATGGATCAACTTCATAACAAAGTCATTATGCCTTTATTCTAATCCAGAAATTCACTGTCTGTCTCCACCAAGTGCTCAAGACTAGCAAGCTGAGATATATATTCAAAATCAATTAATCATGCCATTGACGATACAGACAAAATGAACTTCAAAAACGTTGAGAATAGACCACAGTATTTCAATACATCCATGTGCGACCCAGCGCCACAATATTTGACTAATATTTGCACCCCATAAATTGGTATGTTTCCACGTTTCATCAATTTTCTAGGGTACCAAACAATGCATCAGTGGCGCAGAGTAGTGGCATCCATGTTGATGCACAGCAAAATTCAAACCGAATTTCTCTTTTTTTTGCGGGAAATTTCTTTCAACCTTCAGTATTTGTGATAAGAAATATTACTTTTCATATAGACAGTTTAAAAAAAAAAATTTAATAAAATCGTTAAACGATACGTTTAAGCTTCTGTGTGTGAATGAAAAATTATAGGTAGGACAAATTCAATTCCAGCTGAATTATATGTTATAATTATGGGGAAAAAATCAAATGAGAAGGATGAGTTTTTGTCGAATATTTAGCGAATGCAGAAATCTCATTAAAAATATGTAGCTTTGTCAGTTACTCATTATTTTCAAACTTATATATCATTAGCCATTAATAACAACTTCTGTATAAAAGTTTTGGCAGCGGACAAACAAATCATTAAATTTTGTTGACTAGTTTTTAACTTTTTTTTAATTCCTAATTTACTACGGTCCTATTTATAAAAAAATAAAAGACTAAATCACTATACTAAAAAAAAGTAATTAATTTTATTTTATTTTTCGTAAATATAAATTTTATTATAAAATATATTAAATAATATAGTTGGTATAGTTATTGTCTTGTAATTATACATTTAGCAATAAAAAAATAGTATAAAAAGAATTCAGCAATTAATACATTTCAAATATATCATATATTTTTATAATTAAAATAAAAAATATTTAAATCTGTTTCTTATTAAAAAAAAAAAACTATAGAGTATTAAGCACAAGTATTATAATTAAAAGCTCTAGTAGCAATTTTTTTTTTTGGACAATTAGTAGCAAGTTATATATAAAAGTCTTGGTCCTAAACAATAATATTGCACAATTATGATACAGTGGTTTAACGTATAATGAGTTGGATAAAATAAATTTTAAACTATTAATTGAATGTTTTGGAATGTATGAGATGATGGAATAATTAGCCGTTTTATGGCCTTGCGAGTATAATTTTGGTAAAATTTCAGTACAATCTTGTAATCGCTTTTGCTTTTTTTAAAATTATCATAGTAACACGTTTGGACTCGATCGGATATTTTAAGGCAAGTCATGAACTTCCCACAATCCATCCAATGCAGCCATCAAAACCAACGCTAAAACAACCAAGCACGACCCATAATAAAATTTTACAAAGGATCTCACGGAACTAGATCCAAGAACATTAACAAACAGCGACTTATATCATCAAATATGTTTAATTGAGTGGAATCTGGAAGTCTAAATTTTAATAAAGGGACAGGAATCCAAATAAGAAGGGACAGGTGATTTCATTCTAATGCACGTTAATTATACTAACTTGTGAATTTGACAATTTTCAACGCTCAAGAATTCACATCTGAAAGTTTCAATACATTTTTTTTTTCATGGGGGATTACTAGGCTTAATCCCTTTCGATTTCTGCAATGTCCCTCGTCTATTTTTCAGTTCAACATATAGATGTTTAAGTGCATCGCAATGCACCTGATGAGCGTGTCAATGATCTTACGGATTTGGCATCAACAACTTTAAAGCTTTGTTCTTCGCTATAATCCGGCTTTGGCACACGTCCTCCCTTTGTTACCGCAAAGGAGGCTCCATTTTCAAAAGCATCCCTCACTGAATGAAATTCCCATCTGTCTCCATTTTTATGACCATCCTTTCTCCACGTCACCTACACACGTCATATATGATTAATTTGAAAAATAATAGTAAAACCATTTTATATATACACAAATTCCTCAACTTTCGTAACCTATTGTTAATTGGATGAATGCATCTTCATTAATGTTAAAATTGATTACCTCCTTACTCCCTGTTGTCGGTGCTATGAAGAGGTTAGCTTCACTTTTGAGGCTAGGTTCCATGCTTCCCCCGATAGCATATTGCACCCAACCTAAGTAAAGATTGTTGGCAACATGCGCATATCCATGGCGAATCCTGCAGTGTTTTTTATTAATAAGACAAATTAATACTGCCTAATACATTTATATTCGTAACACTTTTAACTTTTAAATATAAGGAATTTTATTACCTTGGCATGCGCTGGTTGCAATTAGGTCCAAAATGGTTGTACACAACGGTAGCCTTCATGTTCCTGTCTCTCACATACCCATCATCATGGCCAAGAAGCATAACCTTGTCTTGGGCTCTAAACCAATTGTTGGATATGGTCACGTCAGTGGAACCCCGCGTTACATCAAGAAGACCATCTTGGCAATCATAAAGTGTATTATGATCAATCCAAATCTTTGAAGCCGTGACCAATCTGATTGCATCCCCATCTACTTGGCCCAAAGGAATTACCTTTCCATTAGGCCCCATCACCATCCCAGGGGCTTGAGGTTTGCAATGATGAATCCGAATGCTATGGATGATTACGTTGGTGGCCTAGAAACAAATAAACAATCGAGAGTTACGTACAAATTGTTACTAATACATGAAAAAAAAATTATATATATATATATATATATATATATATATATATATATATATATATATATGTTATTTATTGTGCAAGTTTAGTTAGTACTGGGAAGGAGTTTTGGTGGTTTACCTTAAAGATCATTAGGCATGCATTATCAGCAATGTTTACGTTAACACCTCGACCATCAATGGTGGTGAAACTACTAATGAGAAGGGGTCTCTCGAGCCTAATGTGCATGTCTCTTTGGAATGTTATCCATACTTTATCTTGAATCACGGAAGCTCCGTATCTCAAGGTGCCAGGTCTAGGGTTTATAGGGTCATCACTGGGATCAGTAACTTCATAGTGGATGAGGTTCTTGCCAATGTTGTTAGTCATCTTGCCAGCATAGCCCACAGAACATGTGGCTAGTTGGGGCCGATTCCTTCTCCACTCAGGATTCGGTCTCCAACATCGATCAATTACATTCATTTTCAAGCCATCTATCTTGGATTGCTCGGCAGAACTAAGGTTTGGAGTGAAAAGGGCAACAATTACAATAGCTAAAACAAAGCGCCAAATGATGGAATTGGTACCGTGAGAGGCCATGATGAAGGATACTCGTTCTTGATGAACGCGAATTGCAGAGAAAAGAGAGGTAGGAAAGATTATTTTTGCTTGTTTATTTTGGAGTAGTAGTATGAAGAAGTGATTTTATAGGCAAGGGTGGCGTTGAGGTTAGTTTAAGTTGTTTTGTGAAGCTATGGGTAACGGAGTGTCCCTTGCAAAGTAGAAGCTATGAATAGAAATAAGTAAGAAGGTTTCGCTAATTTTGTTGTGACAAATACCTAAATTTACGCAATAACTATAGAAGCGAAATTAGAAATTTCCTTATGCTTCTAACAAAAATATTTTCGACGGCTGAAATTTAATTTAAAATTTATTGAGTAATATTTCAAATTTAATAAAACTTCCTGTAGTATATAGTCATATTTTTATTAATACTTTATCACAATTTAAAAAATTAATCTTATATATATGTTGGCAATGTCATCAGAGATCCGAATGCTAAAACATTGATACGAATTACATGGTAGTTAATTAGTATGTGGTGTGTAGGTAGTCTTAGGAACAGGAATAAAGGTGAGTAAGATAATATAGTATCTCTTTTTATAATTATTAGAAAATAAATTTGATTATTATCCTTATATTTGTTTAATATTTAAATTTCAATATTTATATTTATTACTTGTAATCTATTAATTAAAATATTTTTATTAACTATAGAGTATAAAATATTATTAATAAAAGCATTGTTAAAAATATATACAGAATTATAAAAAAATCATTTATTTAAAATGTTAATTTTAATTATGTGTCAAATTTAAATATTTGATAACTTTTTATAGAATGCAAAATTAACTAAATTTTATTTAATTTTATATAAAAACAAAATTAATAAGCTCTTCATCATATTACTTTATTTTAATAATAATATAATTTTAAAATATAAATAAATATTAAATTTTAGATAATATATTTGTAAATATTTAAATTGTATGAAATTTGATATTCATTATAATTATGAAGATAATTATCTAAAGTATGCAGGAGTCGTTACCATTCTTACTTAAAATTTGTAGAGCCATGATAAAACTTTTGTCAACCTCCTTGAATTTGAACTACCAAAAACATTGCAATTTGTTAACAAAAAATATTGTTTTAAAATAGATTTTATTATCAATATAGATTTTACAGTTTATATATTAATAAATCATTTACTATATTAAATTATATATTAATATTTCATTAATAAAATTATTTATTAGTACATCATATTGTTATTATAAATTCATAATATTTATATTAACAGATGAATTTTGTTTAAAAAATTACAATAATAAAGATTAATTTAATATTAAATTATTATTATTATTATTATTATTATTATTATTTGTAACATGGGTGAATGATAATTCATGGTGTTCACTATGCTCACCCTCACCCTTTCCCATCAACTACCATGGTGACAAGAAACATATCGGTCCAGGGCAGGTTGTAATGAACAGATCACAAGTACGTTCACAATTTCATATGCAAGGACGAAGAACTTTAATAGGATGAGTAGTTGCCGGATCAGTTGCTAGGTGTGTATTTTGTTAGAGCGACTACTGATTCCCTAAACACAGTAAATTTTTTAAAATGATTATTTTACAGTAACGTTGTGGATCGACAAGTTTGTTTACAAAAGAGAGAGGATACCATTTTTATAGTGGCTATAGTTAATTAGTTTATAAACTCATTTGTCTATTGAAAAAACAAAGAAGTCATCTGCATAAATAAGTTCTATTGACCAATTTGGTGCACCAAAGGTCTAAAGAAAAATAATAAGAATAAAACTTCCAATATGTAGCATTTCGAAGAACTTTGTTAATTCCTTGTCACTTATAGCATATTTGAATTGGTTGGATAAACCATACTTTATCAATACTTTTTCCACTTGCTCTCAAGACGGGGAGGTCTATTCAAAATTAAATTTTAACACAGTGCTCTCATGTAATTCTCAATCCTAAGCGAGCCGAAGTCGATAGGGTAAAACTACTTTTTAGCAGAAAGTTATTTCCTATTAATCAAAAGGAAAAAAAATGTTATAAGCGCATGCATTTCTTTAAAGCACGTTAAAGAAAACCCAAAATGTTTCAACATAATAATCTACATGATTTTAAGAAACCACATTTTACCTGCAAACTTAACATAGCAGGTACCAAACTCGCCTCCATATTTAAACATACGTTCTTGGTTCTTGTTGAAGCAACAAACTTGCATCATGTTAGTTTGGTTTATCGTTTGCATTCCACATTATTTAGCCATTTACATGACGTAGATATAGATGAATACGCTAGGCCATCATTTGGTGAAACTCGTTGAAATCAAGCACACCGTTACGATCTATGTCAAAGGCATCAATCATAGCCACGCACTCGTCATAGGACTTTTCATCCCCAAGGCGGTGAAACATTCGTTGCAACCCTTTTGGGGTAATACAATCACTCCCCTTTTCCCACACAAACATCTCAAAAGCCTTCCTTAGATCCTCTTCACCATCCCTATGATCTTCACTATTCATCAACTTCGTGAAATCTTGAAAATTCAACAAATTGTCCCCATCGGAATCGAGGTCTAGGATAAACCCTTGAGCCTCCTCGTGTGACAAATACTCTCCAATGGAACCAAAAAATGATCGCAGTTCAAAGGCAGAGATTTTCCCATCTCCGTCACTATCAAAGCGACGAAAAACCTCCTTGAACTCGTCCTCTTTACTATTTCTTTTCACGGTAGAACATGATGATATTGGAGAGCATGGTGTGAGTGATGATCTTGATGATCTTCGGCCATTAAGACTAAGCTTGAGATTTATCTTTGAGAACCAACACTTAAGCGGATTGAGAATTCTCTCGGATGCCATAGGAAGACCGATTTTGGAAAAGCAATTTCACCTTAACAAATGCTATCTACTGTTAGATTAGAAAAAAGTAGGCTTTTCTAGTGTTCACGTTGAGGGAAATGAAAGGGATTGAGATGAGATACGTAAGCAATGCAAAGGAAATGTGACTTTCTGACGGTCTTGCCAAGAAATTATTGCTCGGAGCAAAGGAGCATATCAACAAAGATTATGTGACTTTTTAGGTGGGAAGGAAAGTGCATGGTAGTTTCCTATGAACGGCCCAAGAAATCAATGTATTAACTTTAATTAAAGTATGCACTCTCACCCAACCTGGAACTTAATTAGCATTGTCCAAATTAGGACAGGATTGATCCAATATTTATTTAAGCCTGAAGTGAATTAGAAGATAAGTTTTTAAAAAGGAATTAATATAAGTGATTTACTTTTAGAAAAATGAATGATTTATTTTATTAAATAGTCGCATTAACCTACGTAATCTACTTTTCAAAAGGATGTTCACTTTTAATTGCTGGTATTATATGTAACTTTTTATTTATTTATATGATATTTACCTTAAACTTAGCATGGTCTCTAATTAAGTTTATCCAACCTTCATTACTCCTATATAACCTTTTAATCCGACCACTGGCACATAATATTAAGCTAAATCAAGTAAAAAATTGATAATAAAAGACACTTTTAAATATATTTTTTAATTTGTTTTTCTATTTAGTTTTTTTATTTAAAAAATAATTTTATGAAAAAAATTCTTTTAACTTTTAAAAAATTAAATAATCAAGTACAATGTGTTAAAGAGTATATTAAACAAATGTGTTACTAATAATTTTCATTCAAGTTTGAAGGTGCTTTCTAACTGTTGTTACCGGTTTGAGATTTTTTAAAATAATAGAAATATTTATAAAATTAATTCCTAGATCTTCAGTAGCATAATTAAGGCTGTAAATTGCTGTAAGAACATGATCTACTAACCCATCGCTTGCTCACGAAACAAGAAAACATGATTAAAAGTGAGTCTTATTTTGTGAAAAGAAAACAGATTTACGGTCTATATCACACCTTCACACATTTGTCTTTCACTTTTCATTAAAGATCATATTATATCTCGACAAAGGGCAATTGGTTGTGTATTAATGGGATAGTTACTTTGGCTATCCAAGATAATATTATGTATTTTTCTTTATCGACTCTTTAAAATGTTATATTATATTAAAATGATGTTATAAATAAAATGGTAACGCTTTTCTCCTTAAAAAAATAAATATCTTATTAAAAAATATATGAAATATTTCTCCTCAATAAACATTTTAATTATTTAAATATTTTTATTAAATGAAATAAAATAATATAAATAAATTCAAATATAAGTTTAATGATTTTATGTTATAAAAAAAATGATTGACGAGAGTGAAAGGGTGCTGAGAGTTTCTAAACATCAAAAAATTATTGAGAATTATAATTAATAAGATGACAAAAATTAAAAAATATAACCGATGAGCTTAATCGCATGTCTTTTCTTCTTTACTAAACATCAGAAAAGTAAAAAGAAAAAAAAAATTCTAATCAATAAGATAACAAAAATTAAAATAAAATCGATGAGCTCAATTACATGTCTTTTCCTCTTTACCAAACATAAGAAAAGTAAAAGAGAATTCTAATTAATAAGATAACGAAAATTAAAAACTAAAAATAAAACCAATGAACTCAATCACACGTCTTTTCCTCTTGAGAAAAAAAAAACACTACATCTTGAAATATGACATTTTAAAAATACGATAAACTAGTAAAATAAAATCTTTTTATCAAAAAATTTTATTTCAGTCACGCAATTATTTAAATTAGTATAAAAAAATAGAATCTTATTTTTACTTAAATAATTCGACATCACATTATGCGGATATTCATTCTACACTCATCAATCAACTTTCCATAAAGATGAAAGAAAATTGTTATATCAAAAGAGCTTTCTTAATTTCCATTTGGTTTATAAATAATTATATTTAATTATGTAAAGTTAATTATATCAAATTCATTCTCTGAAAATTTAAAACAAACAGATAATTAATCATGAAACTGTGTGTCCCCATGGGTTGTGTAGTTGGATCGGCAACAACAATGCGTGTATTTTGGTTTGGAAATAGATACCAACTTTTGTTTTGGTCGATAACCAACTTTTGATTTAAAAGCGTTTTCTCAGCGGAAGCCCATAGAAAAAGCTCACAGGCCGAGCTTGTGAACAAGTGGGCGCCTGTGAGCCCACTAACATGCTAATTAATTGAAGTTTTTGTACCAAAAATAATATTAGAGAGTTTAAATTCCCGTAATTACAAAACAACGCTTTCTCCTTTTCTTTGTTTAAATTATTACTGAAATTTTTTTATATATATAAAAATTTAAATTTAAAATCTTGCTTAAATGATGCTAAGTCGTTTACCACTCAAATTAATTTCTATCAATAAAATAAGATAATATTTCATACTTATAAAGTTAATAGATTTAATTTTCTATGTTATGTAAGTATAAGATATTTATAAGTAATTTAAATAGAGACGCCATCCTTCTTTTCTATAATATTTTAGTTAAAAAAAGAAAAGAGCGCTACGTGTCTCTATTTTTTAATTATTAAATAAATTTAAAATAAAAATGTTCATTTAAATAGTTAAAAATTATAGAATCTAAATAAGAATAATTAAAATCAAAGATATTAAAATTATATTCAAGCTAATTAAAATAAAAAAAATAAAAAAAGAATTAAGCGTACTAAAAACGATGAGAAGAGGTACTCCCCTGATTCAAGATCTTGGATTTTCCTTCTTTTCCCTCCCTCACTCGAAAGAACAAAGGTTTTTTCAAAGAGGAACTATTTCTCTGTTTAGAAAGAAACATGAATGATTGAGGTGTGTCATTATATTATTATTATTATTTTATAAAAACATAAATAAAGCAACAAAGCTATCTATTTTGTTGATGATAAAAACGTGAATTGATATACGAAATTACGTGCTTAAAAAGTTTAATATAAAATATAAAAAAATAGTGAATTAATGAAATAGTATTTTAATAATGATTTGAAAATACTTTTGTACTTAATGTTAATTAAATAAATTTAAATATTAATTAAAATAATTAGAAAACTTATTTTAATTAAATCAAATATTAAAAGAAGAAATAGTAAATTGATATAGAAATTTACAAAAGCAAGTGTCATAAAATTATAAACATATGACCAATGAAAAAAATATAAAAATATTGATTCCAGGAGAGAAAAAAAGTAGGTAATGATATATATGCATATTTAGAATTATTTTTTTATATATAGGATTTAGAAATTATATATACCAAACTATGATATTTTTGAAAAATTTATAAATATTTAAAATTTGAAAATAATATTTTTTAATATAAATACCGATGGAACAACCAAAATCGTAAAATTCAAAAAATTTCCAGTAGCAATTTTTCAAAAAAAAAATTAAAGAAGTTAAAACTTATTAACGGTGTTTTTTAAAAAAATAAAAAAATCCTGACCATTTAAAAAAAAGTACCAAAAATGTTAACGATAATTTTTGAGGAAAAATTTAATATATTTATTATTTTTTAAATACCATATTTTGATAAATTTTTCTATATAAAAAAGTCGCATATTTATAATGGTTAATTAAATAATAAATTAGTATATATTTATGATGTTTAGATACAAAAAATGTACCTTTCCCAGTATCATGTTTATTTTATATAAAATATTTTTTTTTTTCAATTAATCGATACCGCCTAGATGTGGCGACTCGCAGCTCAGGTTGGCTGGAACAAAGTAAGCGATGTAATGATACAATCGGCCAACATGCGACAAATTTGGGATGATAAGACTGAATTGTGACTGCAAAATAGTCCATCAGATCATTATTCCTTTGTATTATATGCGATGAGAGGTGTATTCGCTGTATGTATATATTGTATGCGATTTTATTCAACCAATTCAAATGAAAGGTAATTAATATGCCATTTATAGGCTAAAATATAGCAAATAATATTTTAGAAATCTTGAATTTATTATAAAATACATGCAAATAACACACAGTAACAAATTGTGCAAACTGAAATTAGAATTTGCACGGTATTCGTTATTAATATTATTATTATTATCAGTTTTTAATGAAAGATGAATTTGCGTGGTATTCATTAGAACTCTAGAGAGTTGTAGTGATGTGTGCTTGTGAGAAAGGATAAAGATGAAGGCTTTAAGTAGATCAATTTGCACACTTGTACACATAATAAAAGTCACCAAAATGTGACGCATTGTCGCCGTTTTTTTGTCCGTTTCGTGGCTCCTTAGTGGATCAGAATACGCAGCGACACGGAAACTTTCTCTCTTATCCTCCTTTTGCCGGATGGGTTATCCCAAATATCATTAATTATCACCATCTACACCCTAGTTGCCAACAGGTTCAACCACTTGTACATATGAATAATCACTCCACGCCCACAGAAAACCCTATTTACAAATGGACCCATCTTTTTTTCGTTTTTCTCTGTTTGATACGTCCCCTGTTTTTTTTCATCTAACGAGGATTATCGTTAGTTAAACAATTTTGTATTGATAGAAGAAGGAACGGCCCAGCTTTGCAGGGAGAGGGGAGTTCTTTTGGGACGTGAATCTTGACGACTTTGGAGGCCACATTCACCATTGCTATTTGGAAACGCCTATATTTTGAACTTGGCCATTATAATGGAATGATTCATGGTTACATTGCTCATTCATTTGCCCAGCTCTACATCGTACAATACTGTTGTTTACTACTGTCACATGATTGACAGATACACAAACAAGCAAAATAACAAATGAATTGATTGTCACTTTTGGGTGTTTATTGAGTGAGTATGATCACATGAGATTCAGTTGAGCTTATGCAAAATTCTCAATTATATATTCTCCTTATTTTGCTGCCACTGAACTAGTTCTTATAGAAATTTGGAAGCTCCAAAGACAAAGAGATTTTTAAAAAAAGAAAGAGACAATACAATAGTAAAATTATTGCAGCATAACATGGACTGATCGGAGCTAGGTTTGAAACTTTTCTGAGCCTCTGAATATTATAAAAAAAATTACTTTTTCCAACCTTTTTATAAATTTTTTTTTATTAAAATCAACAAAAAGTAGTTATATGTTATAAAAGTATATTAAATTTTAGAAATATTTATAATATTAAATGATTAAATAAATGAATATATTGATAAAAAAGTATGAAAAAGTAACAATTAATGTATATAAAAATTAATATTTATTTTTTATAATAAAGAGAAAAATATCAATACTTGTTTCTTATAAAGCATTGCTTAAAAAAACAATGCCTTTAAGCACACTATCAAATGAGAAAAAAAAACACTTTTTTAATAATCATAGATCTAAAAAAATTTATTAATAAAATACAAAATAATATGCTGAAATTACGTTTCAAAGAAATATTTACAAACATAAATTTATTGACTTAAATTTATTTTAATTAAAATTACTTGTTGTAAAATTTAAGTTGATCTAAAATCAAGTTTCCGGATTCTTTTTTAAAACATACATTTATATTTATTGTGCTATAGTTTCTTTTGTTTGAAAATTTTGAAAACATTTGTTCTTCGAAATCACTTTCCAGCATATCCAGTGAATGTGGCGAATATTATTTTCTCTGCAGGGCGCACTCGTCATAGCCTCTGTTAAAGTAATAGACAAAATAGTACGAAAAAATAACACTCTAATGGCAACACTTTCTTGACATCTTCTGTCCTTTTTAATTTTTCCGATCCCATAAAAAAAATAATGACTCTCCAAAGAGAAAAGGAACAAATAATATTTAATCGCCGTTCACTTAATTTGTCTTGATAAAAAAATTAACGCAGTAGAATTTTCCGAGGTTTAGTGCAATGTCATCATGGTTCTGAACAACATTTCTTCGTTTTCTCACGTGTACGTAACATGACCATGGTCTACTGGAAAGTCTGAAAACGTCAATTGTTCACTGGGTCACATGTATATAGATAATTTTGTCTCGTAATATAATTAGTAACAAATATTTTTATATATTCTTTACATTCTATTTATATCTATTTTTTAATTTAACTTTGATTCATACACATGAACACTATTAACATTCTTATCTTTTCATATTATTCTATTTGTATCACATTATATGATTTATTATATTTATTTTCTCTTCTATTCTTGCATCTCTTTAAATTCAATATCAATTAAATAATTTTAATTTTTATTATATTATTTATCACCTTTTTCATTTTTTTCTTTATTTTTATCTCACTTCTTTGCTTCCCAAAAAAAGTGTGAAAAAATTGTTACTCCGCATGATTATGCAATTTGCATAAACTGACATGGGGTTCCCTTGAGCATCGCATGAGAGAATATGCCTCACATACTCATTATTTGTTTAACCGGATTAACCCCGATAAGGACAAAATTGTCTAACAGACGTCCTTTTCACAAATTCACTACTTAATTCATTTGTGTCTTATTTGGTAATTTCAAAAGGGACGTCGCTGCCTTTAAAACGGGCTTAAAACTCATCATCCAAGTGCAAGCAAAACGAACGGAAGAGAGAATGAGAGAGACACAAGTCTCTTACTGCGTGAGCGAGAGTAAACCCTGCGTGGGTTGGGTTGAGAAATACTTCAGTGACTGTCTCTGCAATTTAAATGATGACATATCCTTCGGCTTTGGGTTGATTAGTCTAATATGTTGGGGAGTCGCAGAAATTCCTCAAATAATTACCAACTTTCGCGCTAAGTCTACTCATGGAGTCTCCCTTGCCTTTCTCCTCACTTGGGTCGCCGGGTTCGTAATCTTTCGCCGTTTCTGCTTCTTTTTCTTACCTTTATATGTGTTATTCAAGTCATGAGACATTCTTATTTTAGTACAATTTCCCACACTCAACTCACTTAAACTTTTATTATGTATATATAAAAAAAAAGATTAGTCTGATTGCTGTTTGCTTAAATTTTTGGATGCAGAGATATATTCAACCTCGTCGGTTGCCTTCTGGAACCAGCTACGGTATGCGAGTTTTAAACCATATACATACATTTAAGTGTTTGTTGCGAAAATGCATTTATACGGATAATTTGTGTGTATATATATTTTGCGTGATAAAAAAGAGATACGGAGAAGAAAGAGGTCAGATAGAAAAATAAAATAAGAAGTGGTGTTGTAAATGTTGCATATACAGTATGTCTCGTCTCCATTTGTTTCGTTCCACGCCAATTCTTTATATATTATAGATATATCCCACGACTATGACATTGGATAGCGTGGCCTCCGTTCAAGCTTTATATATAATTGTGAGTGTTGACTTACTTTCTAAAGTTTTTCTTGCTTTTTCGGATGGCTGGAAAATGCAGTTGCCGACCCAGTACTATACAGCTCTGGTAATTCAAATGCAATTATATTTATCTGTAATTTCCTCTCTGAATATTATTTCTCTTCATTGTTTCTTGTTTGGGTGTATAGGTCTTATAATTCAGATCTTAAAACACATCGATATGAAACTTTTAATTATGTTTAGCTTTGGAATTTCATGTTTGGGTATCAATTTGATTTTGATTGATTTTGGTTTCATAAATTTGCTAGTGCTAATAAAGACATTTCTAACTAGAGACACGCCTCATATAGCAAAAATAAAAAGCATTTAATATTTTTCAATAGTTAAAATTATTTTATAATGTATTAAATATTCATTTTAAGATATTTATTTCCAAATTCATCATAATCATAAGTAATTTGTATTTCTTGACCCAAAAACAAGTGATTTGTATTTATTTATTTTTTCGATTATAATAACTGAATATAAAACTGTTAATCTAACAAAAAAAAAGTGCATTTTTATATTTTCACTCAAACGTGATTTAAAATTGAACTTTAATTTCAATTTACTACAATCAAGCGTATCTTGCAAATTTTCAAGGTCTGGGAAGGGTAAACGCTTCACCGAACAATTATAGCATCTTGAATTTTTCGTTTCGGTAAGGTTCATTAACAAAAGCAAAGTTGTTGCAAAAATATTGGGTGGGCCCAATTGTTACAACAACAAAACAAGCGTGTTTTATTGGACTCAAGGCCAACCCATTGGACACGTATTCTTGTTTCCGAAGATAAAATTACGGGAAAAAGAAAAAAAAAACCTCTATAATTCTATTTCCATTTTCACCTAATATGCATCTTCTATGTATATATTGTTTAGTTACATTTTTTATTTATATTAAAAATTAACTCTTTTAAAAAATCAGTAAAAATGTGTCATTAAAAAAAATTCTTAGTATATATAAGTATTTATTAAATAAAAAATATATTGTTTCTTTAAAAATTTAATAGTACCAAGTCAACAGTTAATAAAAAAGAAAGTAAAAAATCTTACTATTGATAAAATACAATTTACACTTTTTATTATTGTTGTAGTAATAGTAATTGATTATTCAATTTCTTTTTGTAACGTACTAAAATTGCAACGTTAATTTGAATTAATGGAAGTTGTTATTGTGATTTACAGCTTTACACAATCACTACTATCGTATTAGTTCTGCAAAGTTTCTACTATGACTACATCTATAAATGGTGCAAGTGTCATCGGAAGATCGACGCGGAAAAGGTTCAGTAATTTTCAAGTCCTTATGCCTCGCTCTGCTAATTTAATTGAAATAGTATATTTGACATGTATTTGTAGATACTAGATATCTAACGGAAGTGTGACGTAACATTCTTTTATCATTTGAAAAATAATTAATTAATTATAATAGGCTGATGAAGAGGAGAAAAAACCTTTGAGACCGAAATTGGGCTACGAGTCAGGAATTCCAATACAAAATGGTGGAACCAGAGCAACACCTCGACGGGAGTACTACTATAGGTACGTAACGTATTTATATTGAATAACTCTGCTATTAATGATTAATTCATACCTCTTAACACTTAATTAATGATTTGATTAAGAAATGATCTAAGTGAATTTTAATTTTTGAGTTAATTAAACAGGTCAGCGAGATCATTGGCTGGTAATGATACCCCACCATTGGGTAGCTACTTGAGAGGTGCTAGAAGTGTCCCTTCAGCCATGGAACGGAACAATGATTCGTCTTCTGATGATGAGGCACCTCCACTTTCCTCTACACAACCTAGACCCATCCCCCGCTCTGTCCCTGTAAGTCTTTTCCTTCGTTACTAATCCATTGATTAATGCAAAACATAAAAATTCACAGAATTTATTTTTGGTTCAATGTTTCAGGCAAGTTACGGAACTTTTCTAGCAGCATCTTTAAACTTGCCACGACAGGGTAATGCTTTGAGGGAGGGATACATAAGATTGAGTGGAAGAAAACTACTCTTGCAGGTTAATTTATTCACACATTCGTATAATCATTTCTATAGACTATGGTTGCTTTTGCGTAAGTGCATTCCCTTGCTGCCACTTCATTACTATAACTCATCACAGGAACAAGAAATGCACAGTGCTTTGGGTCAATGGTTAGGATGGTTCATGGCTGCTATTTATATGGGTGGCCGCCTCCCTCAAATATGGTTGAATGTATGTGTAAACCAAACGTTTTATTTACTTCCCAATATTTTTCTTCATTTCTTCTACAGTTAGTTGTGTTCTATTTTTTTTGTGCGTTAATTACTGAGAAAATTGTTGTTTATATGACCATTGGCCAGATTAAACGAGGGAGCGTGGAGGTAACATTTGTTTTTAATCATTTATTGTTTTGGAAATATGCATCACAAGTGTATGCTTCGACTGATTTAGATTCTTTCTCTCTTCATCATCAGGGCCTAAATCCTCTTATGTTCATGTTTGCACTGATCGCCAATGCCACATATGTGGGAAGGTTACCATTTTACTCTTGTACTTGTATATATTTTGTCTGGTTCAGCATAATTTTAAGGAAATAATAGTTTATTTAAATAAATAAATATTTTAAAAAATAAGCTAACTTTCACAGATCATCGTGTTATTCTCAAATAAACTAAAATTAAGTAATCTAACTCCTCTATCGTTATGTGCAGTATTCTTGTACGAACAACCGAATGGGAAAGCATCAAAGCCAATATGCCATGGTTGTTGGATGCCATAGTTTGCGTGGCATTGGACCTATTCGTATCCTACACAGTTTTCCTTGCAAATTTTTAACATGCTCTTATTTTGGTTGCACTACTCTCACTAGTAAAGGAATATGTTTCCGGCTATATGTTGCTAATCCTTAACAATGACAGATAATCTTGCAGTACGCCAACTATAGATACCTTCGGCAGAGAGCAGAAAACGACGGTGATTATGGAAACTACAAAGAAGCCATAAAAAGTGTTGTGTCTTGATTTGTGGGACTGTAACTGATGCATGTTAACCTTCCCAAAATTGAACCGGCGTTACACTTTTATTCTACCAATACCACGACATTCAATTATTAGTGTTTGGGTCTGGCTAAAAATTGATATGGACTAATTATAATTAGGAAACGCGTCAATTCGCGTGCTAAAATGAGGTATATGACTACCAGCTATCAAGTTAATTGTCAAATTTATGAATTATGAACCGTTCGAAATTTGTTTACCAAATCATAAAGAAAAATTTCCACTTATTGTGTCGCTGTCAACGGCCATCAAAGATAGGATTGATGACTACTCCTATCCAAGTTATCGAGTTTGTGAATTATGAACCGTTCACTCACGATTTCACACTCACTAATCTCAACAAAATGATAATCTGAAAATGCAAATTTCCTCTCTGTGTCGCTATCAAAGAGCCAACAAAGATAGGATTGATGATTTTTTAATTACCCGTACATGTAAAAAGAGTGGTAGGACTTAGCCAGGTTCACGATGAGACTACACTGGCTTGATGTGATCAATTATAATGATTTAATTAATTGATTATAATAACAAGGGAAACAAAACAAAAACAGATATTTTCTGCGGCTATCGATCATATAATATTTAATAACAACAGATTGGATGTAAAAAAAAAATGAACTGTCATATCATTTTTGGTATAATATATGAAAAGGTAAAGTTAAAGTTAGCATGGTCAATTAATGTTAATTATGAGAACGAAAAGTTACAGAACAGGGAACTGGGTGAGAGAGTATTTGGCTTTTTCCTTTCAGAAATGAATGGTGTACACACACAAACTTCGGGACACCCATTGATTAACAACATAAAAAGAAGAGGAAAAAAAATAAATGATTATATTCATTTCCCGCAAAATTTCTGTACCACGACTATATATGTGTGTACATCTTCGCTGTTATTAAGAACCTTTTAGGAATAAAAATTAAACATGCCACAGAGGCCACAGTGCTAGGGTTCCTGTCCGATACGTCTTCATTTTCAGTTGCACATCATTGCCTCAGAGTTCGCTTTGGTAGTAATTCAGGTTGAAAATTCTCCACACACCACCTCTACGCAAAGATTATTACGATTTCTGTATTTTTTTCAATTTAATTAGCACACCTAAATTTTAAGACACTGTCATTTCAATGTATTTTCATTTCAATTTTAATGCTGTCACGTTTTTAAAATTATTTAAAAAATATTTATTCAAAAACTACTAAAAATAACTTTTGAAACCAAATAGTCTCTTAACTTTTTATAACCTAACTACAACGAAGTTATAGGTGAGAACTACAGCTTTACAGTGTTCCTTCAAATGAACACTAAATTACAAACACACTTACTTGAATCACTCAAACTAATATTGCTCCTTCAAATTGTACTAGTATCTAAGTATGCTTTATTGCTCCTTCGAATTGTGTGTGTGACCTGTGTCAGCTTCTAAACCCAATGAATTGCCCATACCAATACGAAAAAAGTGCATGTCCATTAAGAGGTAAAGCCCGCTTCTGATTTCGCTATGTAAATCGAGACCCTCAAAGCTTATTAGGCTACACAAAACGGCACCATGTTAGTAAGGGCCCAAATGTGAAGCTTTTGGGGGTTTGTCCGGTCCAGAAGCAAAGTGGAAGACGTTTGGTCAACAAACTTTTGACCCAACACAAAAAAACTCCAAATATAGCAACCAAGGTAATCAATCACATGACAACTGACAAGGAACCATCAGCATCTACGTAAAATGATGACAGCAATCACCATAGATACCAACAATCGAAGTTTCGATTTTGAATTTCATAATTGAAAGCTTGAATCATAAAATTCGGTCCTTGACTGTTTGGTAATGTTTGCGTATCTTTGCGATAATCTTTATGTTTGATAGAAAATTTTTAGCTTCCAGGTTGATGTCGCTTAGAACTCAAATGTTCCAGTGGTGAAACAAACAAACAAACACAACCAAAACAGATAGTTACACACTAACATCTGTGGCTGTTGCTTTTGACGAAAATAAAAATAGATGATATGAATCCCTCACCCAACAAATCATCACAATGAAAAAGGAAAAACATAGTAGAAATGAATAGCAGAATAGATAGAATTAAAAAGAGAATACTATAATAAGATTCATATATAATTATTTTCCCCGGAGGGTAGGGGGAAAGGAGTATATGTTTAAACTTAAATCAACATTTGCCGCCAAGAAATTCAATTAATATTTTGTCCTTTCTTTGTATCCCCATTAAGTTCTAACCGAGATTTTAGGGAATTTGCTCATGGCTATGGGCACATCACTTTCTCTTTCTTTTTCTCTTTGTTGCTCATCATGTTCCGCGTCTCCCTCCCTCCCATACCTCTTCACCTCCATGTGCTGCTTGCTCCCTCTATTTCTCCATCTCTTTATGTGGCCATGCATCATATTCCTCTATCCAACACTCATTCATGCAAAACGGACAATTTGACCATATAATATAAACCTTTATGATACCCTTTCTTTGTGTATTTAATTTCCAAATCCATAGTAATCCGCGTACCCCATGTTCTATGACCTTGTGTATATTGCGTACAAATTTAGATACATACATAAGTTGACTTAAAATAAGGAAGGCCCAATTGTTGTACACTCCACGGCAATTTTTAACGTCTCAAGTTTCAAGTCTTTTACTTTGTCCGGTCCCTGATCTCGCACAAAGAAAATAACTAAAACCTATTCTAATTTCCACGGGTGCCTTGGAATATTTCTCCTTCAAAGTGATATGATAAAATAAGCTAGATATGAATCAGGTATTTTGTGATTGAGTTAAACAAAGCTTGTAATATATTAAATGGTCCTCTTTCAAGTATAAAACGACCTCACGGATACTCATTTCATCAAATAGTTAATAAAAAATAAATTTAAAATAATCCAACGAATCAGAGATCATTTTTTACAGCTTTATGCAATGTTTCATGAAAAACAAAATTAGTGCATGCAGTGTTAGAAAAATGTTAACTAACATTAATTAAGAAGGAACTTTTTTTGTTATCTATAATCAAAATTATTTTTTTAAAAGTATTCATCATATTAACAAGATAATATGTGTAATCGAAAAGATATAAAGAATTATATTATTATATAAATTAATAAATATTTATAGATAGCAAAAAAATATAGAATAAAATTTATTAAACCTTAAAAATGTAAATCTAATTTATTCTCAAAAACATTTAATATTTCTAAGACACTCGTTATCTGTACTAAATTTTCTGCAAGTTTGTGGCCTATGCGTGCGCTTTCAATGAATGGATGTACTGCTGCATCGAGTGAGTATTGACTGCGTTAACAGGAAAAGGGGGCCATTACTTCCGTGGCAGATGGCAAGATGCCGAGATGGGAGAATATACACACATACGGTGCCATTTCCGGCTTTACAGTGCTATTATTCTTATTCTTATTATTGAGTTTAGCTAATAAGTATCTAATATAACATTTTGTTAAACCGTTAAAGATTGAATCTTCGTAATTACTTAAGAACAATAGTATTATTTCTTCAATGTTTTCAATACTCTCAAACATTCTTCCCCAAATATTTTTATCCTTTAGGTAACAGCTTTTTTTTTTTCACGCTGATCACGTTAAGCTGCTGCTGTTACAGATAAAAAAAGACAGAGGAGGTTGGACGCTGGGAGTCTTTTCAATATGAATTAATGTTTACGTACATTCTGACATTGATTTCCTCAGATATATGCATTCAAAGTTCAAACTAGTAGTACTTTTTTGTTTTCCGTTTAGTATGAAAGCTTGACTTTTGCTTCAATATTTTCACATTTATTCACTCATGTACGATTTAGCAACAGGCAATTGATTATTCCATAATAGAGAGTTGAAAGGAGGATGCATAACCACCATGGTTCACTGTATAATCAACCGGAATATGTTAAACATGGGATAGGATAGATACATGTTTATATTATATGAATGGACCAGAGTAAATATTTATAGCAAAAAAATTATGTAAATAATAGAAGGACAAGACGTATCGATGCAAATGAAAAACTAAAAAATGAATAATCATATTTGTATAACAATTTATACGTAATGAAAAGAGATAGAAAGAAATTTAAAAAATATAGTAAGTAATATAATAAAAAGGTTTAAAAATAAAAAGAATTTTTTTTGTTAAAATTATTATATAAATAACATTATATATTCTTAAAAAATGTGGTAAGTCAAATAAAACATATCAGTGTTAAGGCGCAGTTGGTTTTTTTTCTCCTTTCTTTTTAAGAGGTAGATAGGTTTTTTCTTTGGACCAAAGGACATGTTTTTATTTATTCATTGTTAAATCTCAGCACGTTTTATTTATAATTAACTAAACAGTCAGTGTCTCTCAGTGATTACTTGTTTCTAGCAGCAATTGACTCCTATTCAAATTACTAAGTATAGAAAATGATTCCAACTTCAAAATTTTGGATTACAAAAAAGAATGCCATCATGAATCTGGTCAAAACACTCAAAAGCAATGTTTGGGTTTGGCCAGACAATAGAAGCATCATCATAGGGATAAACCGAGTGATTCACTTAGACAAGAAAAATATCCGAATATATATATATATATATACGATCCTTTTTAGATCCGTAGCTATGACGAACACACGGTCACCACCGACAACGTTAACGCATACCCTCTCCCTCTTGTTTTCAGACACAGTCAGCCACTATTCCAGTTGATTAACAAGTTCCATAATTGTTCACTCCTATTTCACACGTAAAAATGCGTCGAATATGTATAATTTCTGAATTATCTATTTGGCATATGCGTTTTCAACAAAAACGGCTACGTAAAATGATGAGTATGATATATTAAAAAGAAGACGTAGGGGGGAAATCCCATGCCCTTCCATTCATAAACCATAAAAATCATTTAAGAAATTATATTAAAACCTTTATTATCAAATTATTCATTGTTAGTAGTTACAAGGCATAATAACAGTGATGCAATGCCTCAAAAAAAAGGGTACCTGGCTGTACAACTTAAGATATGACAGAAGGCAAGGAGTGACTCCAGCGCCAACTCCCCAAGGACAAGCCATATACACAGCGCTAAACCAAAACTACTTGGGCCAACGAAAAAGGAAAGACAAAACAGAAAAGAGGTAATAATTGACTTTATTTCCGCAAAGAAAGATAAAAAAATTTAAAATGGTAATTATGACGCGGCTAACGCTATGCTTCGAGAGCGAAAGGTGTCTCCAGAAGATCGTAGGGAGCCCATAACGCATCCAAGGGGCAAGGGCGGTTCGCGTCTAGCCTGGCCCACGGCTTCCCCTTCCCACTCCAATGCAACAGACTCACCGGGCCCGGATGCAAGTCCCTGCAAAGCCCGCGGAAGTTATCCCCCCCAAGCCCATGCTGGTTCCACCTGTGATCCACCGGACCTATATTCCCCGCGAAAACAAGCAGAAACGGCGGCAACGACCCAAGCTCATAGATCCTCATTCTCTTCTGGAGCTCCATCCATTCCTGGATTTTAGTAGTGTAATCCCCGGCCCGCCACCGTTCTAGATCAATTACCATCACACCGGTGTTGAAATAACAGGGCCTTCGCCCCGCGAAGGTGAGGGAAAGAGAAGGATTCGACCAGAAAGATGGTGTGAAGTACGCGCTGAAGTTGGCGTTGCAGTATTCGGGGGCAGCGAGGACGGAGTTTTCGCCGAGAGGGGTAGCAGCGAGTTTTGCAATGTCGTCGACGAGTACGAGGTCGGAGTCGAGGTAGACGATGTTGCGGACGCAGAGAGGGAGAAGATTGGCCATGTAATTACGAGCGTAGTTGAGAGGGCAATCCAATGCGGAGCGGATGGAGGTGGAAATGAGTCCCGCGACGGCGTGGTCGTCGAAAGGGTAGATTTGGAATTTCAAATAAGGGAAGGAGTTGGAGAGGGTGCGGTTGAGGAGAGCGGTGGAAGAGGCTTTGGATGCCGCGGTGACGAAATGGAAGATGATGTTTTCAGGACAAGAAGAGTGTTGGAGAACGGAGAGGATGGCGGCCATGGAACCCCGAAGGTAGGTGACGTCGAGTGTCATTGCCACGTGTACTGCATCGCCGGAACACGTGTCGTTCTGTTGGAGGGCAATGGTTGGACAGTTTGGGGAGTTGTAGAATTTTGGGGCTTGTTTGAAGCGTTGAGTTGTGGCTGTGGTGGCGTTAATGGAAACGATGATAATGAGGATGAGACACAAACACTTGGGTGCAGCAGTGGCCATCTCCTCTCTCTTTCTCTATGGTGTGAGGAAGGAAAGAGAGGTTTCGTTTATGTGTATGTGATTGTTAAATACGAGAGGTTTGCTCTAAAACCATTACACCATGTAGAATCTGCAAAGAGTCACTTCTGCTCTCTCTCTCTCTGTGGCTTTCAAAAATAGTTTCCTTTATGTCTAGTCAATGATCTTCGGTTACGTCTTTTTTTCTGTATGCCAATACCAATATCAATCCCAATGTTACCGCCAACTAAATATTTATGTTCTGTGACCTCTTTACTTACGGACGGTACCTTATTCAACTCAGTCAAATATTGCTGATAACTTTAGTTTTGTTTAATTATAAATTATTTTTTTTAATTCATTCAAGAGCTTGAAATATTTTATTATTTTGCTTATCAAACTGAATCAATCACACGTTTTGTTTACTTGCTTCTTTTCCAAATAAACTTCCTGATACATACATTGGAAATCAGAATTTCCTTAATAATTTGACTTATTTCCCTTAATTGTGCATTGGCAATTAAACGGCACCGTCAATTGGATTTGGAATACATACATAGATGGATACACCGTAAATAAATCCACAATGGAAGAAAAAATGGGTTCTTTTCCACGTTTCTTCTCTCCGAACAAGTCCAAAACAAGAATTAAACTTTGATGAATAATTTTAAATCCTTCTGCTCTTTATTTCTATAAATCTTCTTGATTATTAAATAAGAAGGTTATTTAATATATTTTATATTTTTAACATAATAATAAAAAAATATCTTCACTTTACAAAGTAGTAGAAAAATTATAAAATAATATACGAAAGCACTTTAATTATCCATGTTATGAGGGTAATAGTTACAATTGAAGGTTCTCAGCCCAAAGAGTGAAAAAAAAAAATCAAATTGTGTACATTGGAGTAAAGAAAATTGAAAAGATATATATTTCCATGATCGTATTGTTATTAATACGAATTGTATTCCCTATTTAATTTCGTTGCGTTCCTTCGTTTTCTTTCTTAGTTGAGCCATCCACTTCTGCGGAAAGCTCCAGCAATGTGTTTACAAATATAACTTGCATCTCAAACAAACGACATTTTTTGGCAGGGAAAATCACTTTTACGACTTCCCATGTGTATACATAATCACCAAATTCACAGTGATCAAATCAACCGATCGATCCCAATAGCATCATAAATAGTTCCTACTAGTCATTAACCTTGTGCATATATACATCTTTTTGTTCCTCCAAAAACTGAACAAGAGTTGCATTATTTGAATAAATTTTACTATTTTTAATTTATAATAACTATCGATCAAATATTTGCAGAATAATTAAGAAAAAATAAGGGAAGACAAATTTAATGATTTGATTATACTACTTGTCATTTTACTTTATTAATACTATTTGGTACTTTATTTATTACAAATACAAAAAGATAGATAAAGATAAATTTATAAAAAAAAAAGTATTTAACATGTAAAAGTGATAATTATAGAGACAATGTAGGAGTGAAAAGAAAAGAATCCCGTGATTGAGGAATCGATCGAGATACACAAAGGAGTCATAACAAAATCTTTGTGATTAAAAACATAGCCAAGGCAGCATCTATATTTAATTAGCTGGTTGCAAATAGTTTCAAGAGTAGACACGTTGCGTGAAGGAGGGACCCCAAAATGGTGCTTCTTAAACATGAAATGTCATCTGAAAAAAAAGGTGGAAGAAGACGTGTGGTGGTGTTGGTTAATTTCAAAGGGAAAGGGACATCCAAGCTAGAGAGATATGGTAGGGCAATGACTCCACAGTGACAGGTTCTCTTTTTCTCAATCCTGACCTATATATACCGATCCTTTCGTGCCTCTACTCCCATCACCAAGTCCATGACCTGACGTAATTTTCATAAACGAGAACGGTTCTTTTACACTTCATTTTGAGGTTTATTGTCAATTGTCAAATGAGTGAAAAAGAAACAGACATAATAGATTATATGATTAAAAAAATATAAAGGAAAATAAAAGTGTGCTTGATAGAATTAATGAACAAGTTAATCAAGAATTGAAAAACTAGTCAAAAACTAAAAGATAAAACTTGAAAAGCTAGTTAATTGAGTTGAAAATGTTCAGTATAATTGATTGTTGAACTAGCTAATAAATGGAAAATTATAGATAAAAATATCATTTTTTTAGTTCAAAAATTGAAATTTGATAATTATATATTTTTAAATGATTATAATTTTTTATTTTACTCTAATTTTACATTATTTTTGTTAAATAAAATAAGACAATATAAATTAATTATATTACTATTTTGATAATTTTACATAAAAATAGGATTTATTAATTTTGTTATATTGTAACAACATTTAATCACAAAAGTGGTAAATAAATTGAACGTAAGAAAAGTAAATATAGTAAAGTCTTAGAAATTAAATAGGTGAAAAAGAGAAATTATTTGAAATGACAAAGACAAAAATTTTAAAAATATAATATTTGAAAAGTAATATTTAAAAACATTAATTAGAGTAACATTTTAAAAAAAATACTAGTAGTCATTTATCTTAATTAGTTACCTAATTAAACGAGCCTATTTTTATTAAACTTTTTTTTCAAGTAGTTACAATATCTTTCTGTACACACTCTAAATGTAAAATTATACCATATGTTTCATAAATTTTCCCCAACTAGTGCTTTCCTGAAGGAGTTACTTGCTTTATGAAGGGGTCAAAGAAAATCTTTATCAAAATTAAAGTACCAGGTATGCATCTCTTCATTAAAGACAAGGGACATGGTTTAAGTAACACTATTCCAATAAATATCAGCCGATTTCTATCCTACAGAACAAAATGTAAGCATAACTTGTAAGTAATATTTTGTGAACAATTGTCTTTTTTAATCCAAACAATTTACTTATAACAGTATTCTTAGTTAAGAAAAAAAAAATTTTATTGCTAACACATTAATTTTTTTACTTTTATTTAAAAGTAGAAATTTTGGTTTTAAACCAACGCATCAAATCCTTGCCCTATGTTTCTTAGCTGGCACTTAATTGTTTTCATAATGTGAAAAGGTAAGTCCAAGCGTCCCAACCCAAAATATTTGTTGTAAAATTTTTAAGAAACTTTAAAAATTTTATAGAATCAAATTGAAAGAAGCATACATGTGATATTGGAAATTTGATCTCATTAGTTAATTTATAGCATTTTTGGATTTTTATTTTGAGAAAACCCATATTTCTAGCACGGTTTTCTTTTTTATAACTTTTTATACTGGATAGGATATTATTCGGTCTTACCTCTATGAAAAGGTAACTGAGTACCCCTTCGGTCTAATATAGCTGAATACCCTTTGTTAGATTAGAAGGTAATTAATCCAATTAAGGGTAATAATCAAAATATTATCTACTTTAATTAAAGGGTCAAAATCAAGGCTAACTTAGCAAGTCCATTAGCCCATAACAATGCCTATAAAAGGAAGGTAGAAAGTACAGGTAAAGGGTAAACTTTTTTAATATAAAATAGCATTTATTGCTCAGAACCGAATCCTGACTTCAGCATCGGAGTGTCTTTTGCAGGTACCCTCTCCACGTCAAGTAACGTCAGCAAGATACGGAAGGACGTCACCCTATCCAAGCAGAGACTTGAAGACTAGTGTTTCCCTAGTATGAACATTTTGGCGCCTACCGTGGGGCACGATTTGTCTTATTTTTTAAGAGTAATCATGGTACTTAAAAAAAGCCAGCAAGACAGACAGACTCAGTAAGGCAGAACCTTTCGGCAGCAGGAGGATACTACACCTAGTCAGCTGATCCCTGAAGTTCTAATGGAGGGAGGTCGCGATGAAAGCCTCTTTGCAGTGTTGAGGCAACTCAAAGCAGAGATGATGGAAATGAAGAAGGAAAGGGAGAAAGACGCTCTTTAGCTTTCGGCTTTGAGAAAGGAAAATGTCAACTTAAAAGAAGAGATAAGAACTCACATACCTTCTCAAACTACACCCCTCGTCCAAGAGTAGCGAGAGTCCTTGGCATTGCAAGAAAAGCCTAAGGGAACTCCACAAGTTGGAATCCCTACTGAACGGGATGATGTCTCGGGTCGAAGCCCTTTTATTCAGTTTATCCTGGAGGCCAAGTTACCCAATAACTGGAGAGGTTTAACGTTAGAAAAGTATGATAGAAAGACTGATCCAGGAGAATACTTAGATATTTTCATAACCCAAGTCAGTCTGTATACAGAAAACGAGGCCTTATAGTGCAGAATTTTCCCCATTTCCCTTCGAGGACCAGCCCTCAGTTGGTTCACCAGGCTATCCCCTTCATCCATTGATTCGTTTGTAACCCTCATCAGATGATTCAATTTACAGTTTGCCACTAGTCATCCTCATCAACTGACCTCGTTGGCTTTGGTTAATATTCGCCAGGAGAAAAAGGAAACACTCAGGTCATTTATGGAACGTTTCGGGCAAATGGCCCCTCTCTATCCAGAACTTGGATCCGGCAGTTGCGATACACCATCTCACAACAGCCCTTAGGCTAGGGCCGTTTGTCAACAGTATCTACAAAAAATCCCATGTCGACCTAGATGAACTACGTTGTTGAGCAACCAAGTACATGCAAATGGAAGAACTGGCCGAGTTCCACAACCAGGCCTAGATGGAGAAAGTGCCCAGTTGAAGAGAATCTGAAGGGAATGAACACGCAAGAAACAAACATGGAAACAAGGACCAAAAGATCGGAACTGAACATCTCCCAAGGAGACCTAGGTTTGTAAGTTACACAATGTTAAACACCAGCCAGTCCAAGGTACTCGAGCAGACTTTAGCAACAGAGATATTGACAATATCAAAGCGTACGAACATTCTCAATTGGGCTAAAAATTGTACTTAGTAAATTTAGTGCACTTTTTCCTCACTCAAGTTTTGTCCTCTTTTTAGAATGTGAAAAAAGGTTTTCCAGATAAGGTCTTTAACGAGACACTTCATCAATAAAATGACAGAACTTTCTTTACAAGTCAATAGTCTCTTATTATTTCCCCTCGAGTACCTCACTTGGCTAAAGTTGAATTAAATATTCCTTCCCAAGTACCACACTTGGCTAAGGTTGAATTAAATATTCTCTCCTGGGTACTTCACTCGGCTAAGGTTGAATCAAAATTCCTTCTCAAGTACCTCACTTGGCTAAGGTTGAATTAAAT